TATGTAAAGTGTATAACTAATACATATATGAATTATATAAGTAGTTTAAAGTGGGGTTGGGGTTCAGGGGCATAGCTATAGCTATTCCACTGGATAACTTTCGTCGTACGATATATATATATATATATATGTGTGTCAAATTCTATATGTAAATTATATATATTTAAAGTTGAACACTCATAACAAAAGTATGCCTTTGACATAGTAATAAAAGGTCCATTTGAATGAGGTAGTTCTGAGTTTGAACTCCAAGTAGGATAACTTTTTTTTTTATTTTGACAGTCGCAAACATTATTATTTGACATCTTTAATAAAATTTATGACTCTTTTTCACTAGAGGATGAGAGATCAGGGGTGGATGATCATGGAGAAGATCGTAGAAACAATGGAGAGGGACATATCACAGACAATGAAAAATCAGACACTAAATAATAAAAGTTTAATTATTTGCGAGAGACCAAAATGATTCTCTTTTATTAATACGTTGCAATGAATTTTAGGGGTATTTTAGAAAATCGAAGAAAAGATTAAAATTGTTTTTAAACTATGTGAAATAAACCACTTATATTCTTCATTATATTTTGGGATAAAAAATACCCCCTGTTATCCTAGGAGATCATAAATACCTTCAAGAGTTAACACCCCAATTTTTTTAGTGATGTGGCAATACCACATTGGGACTCATCCCTCCACTTATGCGTTGGCAATTAAGATTCACTACAAAAGAATTTGATCTTTAGTGGCGACAAAGTTGCCACAAAATCTCAAAATATTGCCACTAAAGATTGTGAGTCATTTTTAGTGACAACTAATAGTAAAACCTATTTTTTCAAAAAAAAAAAAAGATATGATAATTATTTTTAGATTGCAACCTAATTTTCTAAAATAAATAACTTCCAATGTTGATATTAAAAAGACCCTTATTATTACGAAAAATAATGAAAATTACTTCTCGTTTCACATATTTTACTATAAAATGCATAATTGTACATTGTATACATTAACATAAAAATAAGATATACTCTGTCTTCAAACTCCTACTTAATTGATATCATTTTTTTTAAAAAAAAGAAATGAATAAAAAAAACATAAAATTAAAATTTAATGTTAAAAATTTTAGTGACGATTTTTTGGACTTTTGTGGCGACTTTTGTAATAAATCCTAATTTTTCAAAATATAACAAAAGATATAAATAATCTATTCATATAATTCATAAATAATTTTGACCCTTTTTTATTGGAAAAATTAAAAAGTGGTACACAATGCGAGATTAGCAAATCCATATACACACAAAAATATCATTTAGCCTGCCCCTACTAAAAAAAAATAAAAATAAACATAAACGAGAGCTACAAGACAAACGTGGAGAAATAATGTATTTTAGAAAATTATATTAAAAGGTAGGTGGGACAAACGTTAAAAAATATTGATGTAACTGTTGAGCATCTATTGTACGTTGAACAAATTATTAAATGTAAAGTTTTGACGTGTTGCTAATTTTCAACTATAGAAAGTTAATGGACCTATCATGAATTTATTGCGGTGTAATTATTTTATCCATAAATTCTAAAGTTTCATGGAAAATACTAGATGAATAAATTCAAATTATTATGAATAGAATTTTTTTAATAATAAATATGTATGGAACTCATTTGCTCATAGAAAATTGGCTCTCACATCATTAAATATATAGTGAAATATTATTTTTATGACTATAGAATCTATATTTAATAAAATTGTATGGCCATGAAAGTTAATTAATTAAAATTGAATGACTTTTAAATATAAAATTCAGTGACTCTAAATTGATTATATATATAAATAACATAATTCTTCAATTTTAAATTCTGAATTTTCAATCAAGACAAACGAATAAAAATCACAAAAATCAAGATGAAATGACAATATCAAAAAAGCATTATTAGGTATGTATGTACAGTAAAATCTCTATAAATTAATATAGATAGGATTATGAAATTTTATTATTTTATAGAAGTATTATTTAATTGATAAATTAATATTTATTAATTTGAAGAATAGTTTGAAATTCGATGAAGGTTAATTTTTTTTTATCTCAAAATCATTGTATCTTACTAATTTATGTATCATATTTATCGATTTCACATAAAAAAAATATCATACATAAAGTACAACGAATATATCAAAGTTATTTATCTTATTCATTTCAACGTTGTGATGTTGTGATTATAAGAGCTTTGAAGATGTATTATCGAACATAATTTATCGTATGATATTAGAAGGTATGGAATGGGACAAAATGATCTAACAAAGATCAATGTTTTGGATGCTATTAATTATGCAATTCTTGTTTGAACAACAAATGTTCAGCAAGAGACAATAACAAATTGTTTTCAATACTGTAAAAATTGTTCGGGGATCTAATCTCAAAGAATATGAATGAACCTACTTGTGAAAACGTCATTCAAGAACTTGTGGTCATGATTAATGATCTCGGTTATCATAATAAAATGGATGTCAATAACATGTTTGATTATACGAGTGAAAGTGATACTTGTTCAGAGGTCTAGAGTTAAGAAGAAATTGTGGATATCATCAAAAAAAGCAATGTTGATGATGAAGTTGAAGCTGATATTGCACCTTTGGAACTAGATACGCATAAAAAAAACACTTGTCGTATCTAGAATTCTTCGCAATTTTATAGTGCAATTCGAAAAGACAACACCAGAGCTTTTGGATGCAATAAGAAATGTTAGAGATGAGCTTCAACTATATCTAAATTTTAAGAAAAATCATATCACAATATAATCATATTCCACTAAATTGTCTTAGATATATTTGTACATTAAAGAATTATTAATTTGTGATGTTAATGGGACCACATATTTATATAAGGATTTTCTGAAAATATATTATCTTATTATCTTATTGAAATTGATGATTTTTTTCATTGGCCCAAATCGAAACAAAAGGAAAATATTATTTTAGAGAGATTATTAATTTATAGAGGTTTTACTGTATTACTTACCTGATCCAAGACATAGGAAGACGAGTGAATAGAATCAGGCATGAAGGCAGCCAAGAAAACAGCAACATAGATCTTTTGTGGGTATTTTTCCATAACAAGTCCCAAATTCATACCACCAAGACTATGTCCAACTAGTATGACTTTCTCCTCTTGTGGAAGAGATTCCATCAATTCCATCAATGGCAAAGTGTAATCATGAAATGTGTGAAGTTGCTCTATTTTTCTCAAATCAATACCAGAGGCTGCCAAATCAAGAGTTGTGACCTTGTGGCCTGCAACCTCTAGAAGGGGCTTTAGTTTGTACCAACACCAACCTCCATGGCATGCACCATGTACCAAAACAAAGTGTCTTCCTTGTTTCTTGATAGGTTCCATTTTCAGGCCTTTGTGAAACTTTTCCTTTGGCTTAGCACTCTTTTTAAGTCAGAAGAACTCTAAGATAGGGTTATATGGTTATTTTGTGGGTATCATCACATGTTTGTTTATTGTGTTTAGGTGATGACAATGTGCTTCTTGTATATATATTAGCTGTCATATTTTTCTCTTAATTATTGTTTTAATTTTCTTGAGTCAAAGAGTTTTTTTTTTTAAATAATCTTTCTACCTCGTAAAGATAGTGCGGTGAGGTTTGTGTATATTCTATCTCTAGAATTCATTTTATGAGATTTCACTGAGTTTATTGTTGATGTTGACTATTGTTAATTTGAGATACCTCTTTAAGCGTGAGCAATCTAATGATTGAATAAGAATTTTTTTTGTAGAGAGTTTGAAAAATACAAGTATAGACGTGTTAATAAGTCAAGAAAACACATTTCAAGAAGTAATAATATCTAGCTTTTAGCTACAAAAAGTTAGTTCCTTTACAAGAAACCTTTTGGCACGTTCGAGTTTTTTTTTTTTTAGTTTAAATCTACTCTTTTAACATTTTTTTTTTGTTTTTAAAAAAATTATAAATGCGAAAAATTGGTCCCGAAATTAAATAAAGAGAAGCTTAAGAAAAGTGAAGATTGATCATGTACGATTCAAACGGGGAACTTGAGGGGTTAATTTAAAGGAGATCTACCATTACACTATAACTTACTTATTGTTTATAAGGAGGTTCAAATTAATATATTTACATAAATGCAGAAAATTTACCTTATATATATTATTTAATGTTTTCCGAGGGGGTTCGGGTGAATTTCCTGGAACCCATGTGGGTCCACCCCTAATATATCTTCAAGCAAATCAGACTCTAATTCTAGTAAGTACCATCCCGTTAAGGACAGGTTTTCTTGTTCATATGTCAAGGGCTGGTAAGGTTTTGCGCGTTGTATCGAATTAAATCTTCTATTGTGATTCCAAGTTCACACCTCAATTTTCTCAATACTTGGTTAGACATGTATCTTATAATTCAATGACTAATTTTCGTTAGAACTCTACTTATACCATGTGTTGGATACATGAAATTCACTTGCAAGTTTTAATACAATAAAAATTTATAACATTCTAGAAAAGATGTATCATCAATCTTTATATTGAGACATGAATTACATGAATTAACTTATTATTTTTCCAAATATATATTATGATCATACAATTTACTAGACATATTCATCCGTCTCAAGATCTCATATAATTAATATGTATACATATCATGATAGTTGTATGAAGATTGTAAATAAAAGTACATTTAACCGTTAAAAGAGAATATAGTTTTGTCAAACAAGTCTAAAACATTTTATTGATACTTCACCACGAACACAAACATGTGTTTTTTTCCAATTGAAAGCAACAACAACTAATTGTTCAAAAGAGAGTAGAAGATGGATCAATTGTACTTTTGGACAATCTCCAATAGAGTGTCACAAAGTTGTTTGGGCATATATAGCATTGCCATATGATCAGCACCTTTAATCTCCTTTACGTCGGTGACGGATTCAATGTTATCAATTTGCCATTGCTGGAATTCTTTTGGCATGGCTTTATCCTCAGTGCAGATTATATGTAGAATTGTATATGGCAGTAGAATTGCAACTGCTTGGGGGTTTTCCATTAGCATAACGAATATATATAATTACATAATTACAATGGGCTTAAGCCCAGTAAACGTAAACCTAAACCTATTCTAACACTCCTCCTGAAGTTGGAGCATGAACATCGTGAATGCCCAGCTTGGATAAGAGAAATGAAAAGTTAGGATGAGACAGAGGTTTAGTAAACAGATCAGCTCGCTGGAGTTTTGTGGGAACGTAGTGAGTCGAGAGTTCGCGACGTCGTACACATTCCCGTACGATATGACAATCAATGTCGACATGCTTCATCCGCTCATGAAATACTGGATTAGCTGCGATATACAGGGCAGATTGGTTATCACAATATAACCTCGGAACTGAGGTAGTCGCTACTCCAAGACATCTGAGGATGTGTTGAATCCACCGAATCTCGTAGCAAGTGTCAGCCATGGCCCGGTACTCAGCTTCGGCGGAAGAACGAGATACTGTAGGCTGTTTCTTGGTCTTCCAAGAAATAGGAGATCGCCCCAACACAACAAAATACCCGCTGACAGACTTTCTGGAGAGTGGACATGTAGCCCAATCTGAGTCACAATAAGCCATAATCTGTAAGTTACTGTCTGCTCTGAGAAGAATGCCCTGACCTGGATGACCTTTGATGTAGCGTAGCACTCGCATAGCAGCATTGAGATGGTCAACTCTGGGCTCGTGCATAAACTGGGACAGCAGATGTACCGAATAAGCCAAGTCCGGACGCGTAATTGTCAAATAGATGAGACGACCAACCAACCAGCGATATTTGCTGGGATCGCGAATTGGTGCGCTGGTCGACGTGGCCAGGCCATGACCTGGAGACAAAGGAGTCGAGGCTGGTTTGCAGTCAGTGAGTCCGGCCTCCTGCAGAATTTCTAGTGCGTATTTGCGTTGGCACAGCACTAAACCAGTTGACGAACGGGCACATTCGATTCCCAAGAAATATTTTAAAGGCCCCAAATCCTTCAGCTGAAAGCAGTTGTGCAAATATTTTTTGAATGAAGCACATAGATTGAGGTTGTTACCTGTGACTAAGATGTCGTCTACATAAATCAGGATGGCCAGAAAGTCAGCGCCGCGTCGGAAAATGAAGAGAGTATGATCCTTATGAGCTTGTTTGAAACCATAGCGCCTCAATGCAATTGTCAGTTTTGCGAACCAATTTCTGGGTGATTGGCGGAGACCATATAGAGATTTTTTCAGTCGACATACTTTGCCTGGGTGGGCATTCGAGTAACCTGGTGGAAGTCGCATGTAGACCTCTTCAGTAATATCCCCATGTAAAAAGGCGTTATTTACATCAAGTTGGTGAATCTCCCAATTCTTGGCAACGGCAACGGACAATAAAATTCGCACAGTTCCCATTCGGGCAACCGGAGCAAACGTATCTGTATAGTCTGTTCCAAATTCCTGATGATTTCCTAGAACAACCAGTCGTGCCTTGTCCCTTTCTTTAGATCCATCAGCATGGAATTTTGTCTTGTACACCCATTGACATCCTAGAGCTCGTCTACCGGCTGGAAGATCAGTCAACACCCAAGTCTAATTGTTTTCCAAAGCTCGAATTTCTGAGTGCATAGCCTCCCTCCAATTTGCAAATTTTACAGCATCCCGAAATGATCGGGGGACGTCTGTAGCAGAGAGTGCAGCCAAGAAACCACGATACCTGTCGTGCAATTTTTCATAATGAATGTAGTTAGTGATAGGGAACCATGTACCTGAACGATGGGTGATCGAAGGGCGAGTAACGGGAGGTACGTGAGTGGCAGATTGACACACATATTCAGAAAGGTAACCGGGTGGATGGCGAACGCGACTTGACGTTCAAGCAGGTGGTGGACCTGCGTCTTCGTCGACGGGAGGGGGGGTTGTTGCAGGTTCTGTGGAGGCAGTGGAGTCGGGCTGTTGTGGCATATTGTTGGTCTGCTGGTTAATGGTAACAGTGCTTGGGTTGGGCGACATGGTTGAGACAGTGACGAGAGAGTCTGTTGTTCGTTGGGCTGTTGGTGTGGCAGTGACGGGAAAATCTGCTGTTCTTGGGACTGTTGGTGTGTGTTGCGTGGGCTGCTGGTTGGTAGGTGTAGGTGCGAACGGAAACATCGTTTCATCAAACGCGATGTCACGCGTATGAAAGAAGCGATGAGTTTCCAAATCGTATACCCGCCAACCTTTCGTCCCGGAAGGATAACCTAGGAACATACATTTTATACTGCGAGGGGCGAATTTGTTGGGTGGACGCTGGATATTGCGGATAAAACAGATACACCCGAAAACACGCAAGTGGGATATTTGGTGGAGTTGTATTTAGCATTTCGAATGGAGACTTGCCACCGAGGACACGGCTAGGTGTGCGATTAATAAGGTAAACTGCAGTACGGACACATTCCCCCCAAAATTCGACTGGTAGCGACGCTTGGAACATTAAGGAACGTGCCACGTTTAAAATGTGACGGTGTTTGCGCTCGACTCTCCCATTTTGTTGGGGGGTTCCTACACATGATGTTTGGACAAGGACGCCCATGTCGTGGTAGAACTGACGAAGAGGGTTATTCAAGAATTCGGTACCATTGTCAGATCGGATAATTTTTATAGTTTTATGGTATTGAGTTTGGATCAAGATAAAGAATTGTTTTAAGCAAGTTGTCACTTCACTTTTATCGCGTATGAGGTACACCTATATAGCTCTAGAGTAATCATCTACAATAGTCAAAAAATAATGTGACCCAGAAGATAGACAGGTAGAATAAGGACCCCATAAATCACAATGAATTAAATCAAAAATGGAAGCAACTTTATTAGAACTTGTAGGAAATTTTGAGCGAGTTTGCTTGGAATAAAAACAAATCTCACACGACTCCAATTGTTTGATATCTAAGGGGGTTTTATTAAAAGGAGGGGAACATAAAATTGTAGGAGATGGATGACCCAATCGCTTGTGCAACAACTCAACTTGGTCGACTCTAGAAGCGGACACGAAAGCTTGAGACTGGAACACGTATACCCCGTTACGAGCTGTACCCCGACCAATCTCCATTGTCGAAACACGGTCCTGTAACACGCAACAACAATCATCAAAAATCACACAACACTTGTTGGATTTAATCAGGCATCCAACAGAAATCAAGTTGCATTTCAGATTAGGGACGAACAACACATTTTTCAATATTAGATTGACAGAAATTTGTACGCTACCACAGTAATTTGCCACAACACGAGTGCCATCCGGGAGACCAATAGAACACTCAGGAACAGGTATAATATCATAAAGTGAGGAAAAATTACCCGTCATGTGATGTGAGGCACCACTATCAATTAACCAATCGGGTGACAAAGCATGAACCGTACCCGTGTTATTTCCTGATTGTGTCGGAGTATCGAGCATGTGCAGCAGTCGAGTCATTTGCTCAGTCGACAGTCCTGGAAAGTTGCCGCCTTGGCTGCTGCATGTCGTGACTGCTGGTGAGTTTGGGCTGTCTGCGTGTGCAGCCATGCCACCGCTGCGACCTGAAGGTTGTTCGCGGCCAGACTGTAGACCACGCCCTCCTCGACCCCCTCGTCCTCCCCCACGACCCCTTCTTCCTCCATTGGGAAAACCAATCAAAAGAAAACACCTTTCAGTGGAATGACCATTTTTCCCGCAATGAGTGCATTTGTATTTCGGAGGTGGTGTGGGTTGAGTTTCTACGGCGAATGCTAGTCCATCGGTCTGTTCATCACGGTTGCGCACAATCGACTTGTGTCTCTCCTCTTGAGAGACAAGATAGTAAGCTTCATTAAGAACGGGAAGTGGGCGGGTGCCGAAAATCTGGGAACGAGTGGATCCGAATTGTGTATCATCGAGTCCGAGAAGAAACGCATTTGTTTTCTCCTCCTCAAATCGAAGACGCATTTTCGCTGCTGCAGGACATATACACCCATAAGTTGGATCAATCGAACCATACAATTGGTTCCAAATAGTTATAAACTGATTGTAGTACGAGACTACAAATTGACCTTTTTGTCTTAACATTTGTAGATCGGACTTTAATTGCCACGATTTTGGAGCATTCGTGCCTCCGTACCTTGCCGTTATATCAGTCCATAATTCGTGGGCAATTTTGTGAGAGACGATACTTGGCTGAATTGTCTCGTCGGCACTGTTAAAAATCCATGAACATATAATTGAGTTGTTTGCTTTCCAGGCATCAAGTTCCAACTCGTTCGTGGGCTTTGGAAATCCCTTTTCATATAAAAAACCAATCTTGCTTCTGCCTTCGAGTGCGTTACAAACAGCTCGCTCCCAAACGTCAAAATTATCTCCCTTCAGTAGGTATTTAGTAAGAGAATTACTTGGTCCTTCAGACGGGTGCAAATAGTAGACGGAGCTTGGATCATGAATCGGTCGAATTTTCGCAGTGGAATCGACAGTCATGATTTTCTATGAAGCTGTGGCGATCGAGTAGTTGGACTGTACAGATCAGAAGATCTGCGGAAACCAGGCAGATGGGCAGCGACGATATACTGCAGAAACGATGGTCGACAAATGGTCGACAACGGCGATGATCGACAACGACGATGGTCGACAACGACGATGGTCGACTCTCGGCTAGGATTTGATTCCCGGTCCAGGCTCTGATACCATGTAGAATTGTATATGGCAGTAGAATTGCAACTGCTTGGGGGTTTTCCATTAGCATAACGAATATATATAATTACATAATTACAATGGGCTTAAGCCCAGTAAACGTAAACCTAAACCTATTCTAACATTATATAAACTTTGTTTACTGATCCATAACCTTCATCCGTGAAATACTTTGCCTTCGATAGATCTTCGATAAACTGAGAGCTTGGTCTTATTAATGTCGATGCTAACGCAACATCCTATACCAAATAATATTGCTTTAGATATGTCATTTGCATTCACCAAAACAACATAAAACACTTGTTTCTAAATAATGCTTACCTCAGGAGAGCATAACTGATAAAATCGGTGAGCCAACAACTTGGGATCCAAAATTATGGATGTCAAAGGCTCTTCAGGGGAACCATATGATACAAATTGGGTGTCACACCAATTCTTTGTTGGCGTCCTCTCAAATTGCTGAACATTAAAATAATTTTCAATTACATACTAATATTTTAAGTAAACGCTCACACTCATAACCTGAAGTGATCCACATAGTGGCGTAGCCCTTCGTCGAAATATTATGTCGTATATACATGTAAAATGGTAAATTAAATAGTTAAATAATATATTTTGGACGTCATTAACACAAATAATATGATGTAGCCTAGTGGTTTTACGCGCCTTGAAAGAGTAAAGATACAAAAATTTAAAGTATTTATGTGTTCGAATTTCACTACTAGCAAATATTTTTTTTCACTTTTAAGAAGAGAAAATTCACTTTAGCAAGTGGACACCTTTCGTGAAAATCCTGGTTCTGCCACTAGGTTCACACACATTGCCAGCTATTAAGTACATATAATATTTTTAAAAAAAACTTTGTTTAGATCCTTCTTACATTTTTATTCTGTATACTCTTTCCTTTTTCATTAAGCGATATATATATATATATATTGGTCCTTCAAAATACAGTTTCTATAATAATTACCTTAAACCCTTCAATTGTTTTCTTGACTTTATTAATTTCTTAAAATTTGAAAGAAAAAAAACCTATTGTTTTTCATTGTGTTCATCGAATTTGTACAAATCTGAAAAGTTTGTGAATGTGATTGGGTTTGGCGTATTGGATTAATGTAAATTGATTTCGAATTATGTGTGAAGATCTAAGCCAAAAATTAGAGAACTTTATTGACCTACAAAATTGTCGAAATCAAAAAAAATAAATTGTGGGTTGTTGAATTTGAATCCAAATCTGAAAATTTTCATTTTCAATTACTAGTTTGTAGAGACTAAATTAAATTCCTTATGGGAATCTCATTATCGAGTTCTTGAGTTTGAGTAAAGAAAAATTTTGTAGTTGAAAATTCACTCAAGTAGTGAACATTAAAATTAAGTTTACATAAATAAAACACAAACAATCATTCACAAACCACAAGATTATCAAAAAGCATATATCAAATCAAATAAGACAAACAAATTAAAAGAGAGAGATCGATATATAGTATACGTATTAATTATATATATTTACCTGATCCAAAACGTAGGAGGACATGTGAGCAGAATCAGGCATAAGAGCAGCCAAGAAAACAGCAGCATAGATCTTTTTTGGGTATTTTTCCATAGCAAGTGCTAAATTCATACCACCAAGACTATGCCCTACTAGTACAACCTTTTCCTCATGTGGAAGGGATTCCATAAACTCCATCAATGGCGCGGTATAATCGACAAGTGTGCGAATTTCTTCTATTTTTCTCAAATCAATGCCAGAGGCTGCCATGTCAAGGGCAGTGACCTTGTGGCCAGCAGCCTCTAGCAATGGCTTTAGCTTGTACCAACACCAACTTCCATGGCATGCACCATGTACCAAAACAAAATGTTTCTACATAACCTCCATTTTTTGGCCTTGTGTTTTTAGGGTTTTTTTTTTTTGAGCCACAAGTACACAAAGATGGGTCATATATATAGTGATTTGGTACACTGAATCTGGAAACTCAAATATTTGACTATTGAAATAGAGGGAGTATATACTTAATAATATTTGTCATAATATTTTAAATGAATCTATTATGGATATTATTTCAATAAATGAAAACTCATCAGGGAGAATTTTTTTATAATATAATTCTTTAATTATGTTTATCTAAATTATGATGGTGTTAATGATAAGTTGTGAATCTAAACACTCAAATGAGTTTCCATACAAGAACTGTGATCTGATTTTACAGATCTGTGAAGCAATGTATCTAGAGAAGAAAGAAGATTATATTCATTGTTGTATGTAGTGATCAGAAAATACAATGTATTTACACAAGAAAATATCTAACTAACTCAATGCATATTCTAACTAACTCAATGCATATTCTAACTAACTTTTTATAAGTGCTAATCACCTAGCTGTTAGGCCCACAGTAACTAACTGTATTAACCATATTATTGATCTCAATACTCCCCCTCAAGCTGGAGTTTGTGTATACATCAAATACTCCAAGTTTGCCTAATAAAAAATGGTGTTGTGCAGCTCCCAAGCCTTTTGTCATCAGGTCTGCTAGTTGCTCTTTAGTGTTGACATACTCTGTTTGTATCAATCCATTCTTGATTTTCTCCCTCACAAAATGACAATCAATCTCAATGTGCTTTGTCCTTTCATGGAATATAGGATTAGCACTGATTTGTATTGCTGCTTTACTGTCACAATGTAACTTGACAGGTGTCTCTGTATTCACATTCAACTCCTTTAAGATCCCTACTAGCCATATAATTTCTGAAATAGCTGCTGCCATACTTCTGTATTCAGCTTCAGCTGAGCTTCTGCTCACTGTATGCTGTTTCTTTGATTTCCAAGAAATAAGAGAATTCCCCAGCTTTATTGTATACCCAGTCACTGATCTTCTTGTGTTGGGGCATGATGCCCAATCTGAATCACAAAATCCTTCTAATTGTGTACTAGGTTCACTACTTAACAGTATGCCTTGCCCTGGACAACCTTTGATGTATCTCACTAGTCTCATCCCTGCTTCCCAATGAGATATCTTTGGCCTTTGCATGAACTGCGACAATACTTGTACAGCAAAGCATATATCATGTCTTGTTGTGGTTAAGTACAACAACCTCCCGACAAGCCTTTGGTAGGCTGTAACATCTTTGAACAAAGGATCACTTATGTTTCCTGTAAATTCATCATAATCCACTGAGGTGAGCTTCTTATTAGGCTCCAATGGTGTAGCTGCTGGCTTAGAACCACTTAGTCCACAATCAAAAATCAGCTCTAGTGCATATTTTCGTTGATTCAATAATATTCCTGTTTTTGATCTTAGTATCTCAATCCCTAGAAAATATCTAAGATCTCCAAGATCCTTCATGCTAAAATTGTTGTGCAGTGCATCCTTTATGTCTTGAATCATTTTATTGTTGCTGCCTGTAATGAGTAGGTCATCCACATAGACTAAGACCACAACAACATCAATACCAATCTTCTTAATGAACAATGAATGATCATAGGAACTTTGTGTATATCCAGCCTCTACCAAAGCATCAGTCAGCTTAAGATTCCATTGTCTAGAGGCTTGTTTAAGTCCGTATAGAGACTTGAGAAGTTTACAGACTTTGTTCTCCCCCTGCCTCTGAAAGCCCTGAGGTAAGGTCATGTACACTTCTTCAGTCAAGTCACCTTGTAGAAAGGCATTATGAACATCCATTTGATATAAGGGCCATTTGTGAGATGCTGCAACTCCAATAACAGTTCTCACAGTGACCATTTTGGCTACTGGAGAAAAGGTTTCATGGTAATCCAAGCCTTTCTGCTGGTTGTACCCTTTAGCCACCAATCTTGCTTTGTATCTTTCTATGTCACCATTGGCTTTATGTTTAATTTTGCACACCCATTTTGATCCAATAGCTTTCTTTCCAATAGGCAGATCAACAATAGTCCAAGTCTGATTCTGTTCTAATGCATTCACCTCAGCCTGCATTGCATCAATCCACTGTTGGTCAAGAGATGCTTATTTGAAATTAGAGGGCTCGACAGCTACAGAGAATGCAGCTGTATAAGAGTGATAAGTGTGACCCAGATTAGAGTAGGATAAGTAATCTTCCATAGGATATAAACAAGATGAATTGATCTTCTGTGAGACTATATAATCTTTGTGCCACAAGGGTGGCCTTCTAGGTCTTCTGATAACTTCAGTTGAAACTGCCTCAGCATGGTCATTTGTTTCAATTATAGTTGAATCAATTCCTGTGTGTGTGTCATCATGAGGTAAGTGCTCAGGCCTAATAACCTCTTCTGCATCTTGTGTTCCCTCAGGTAACTCATGTGACACTAGAATTGGTGTGTCGTGATTGCTAGATTCCAGCACCTTATCATCTCCAATAGCAAATAATTCAGAATCAGACAATATTAACTCTGCTGGCACTTGAGGATCTTCTTTGAAAGGAAATATGTCCTCTATGAAAGTAACATCCCTGCTAATAAAGAATTGATTATTCTCCAGGTTCAAAAGTCTATATCCTTTTTGAGTTTCAGAATAGCCCATCATAACTGCCCTTTTGGCTCTTGGAGCAAACTTGTCTAGCCTGGGCAAGACAGATGCAAAAACTAAACAACCAAAAACCCTCAAGTGATTTAAGTTAGGCTCCTTCCCATATAGCACAGTGTAAGGAGATCTGCCCTGTAACACACTACTAGGAACTTTGTTAATCAAATAGGTAGCTGTCTTGACGCAATGACCCCAATATTTAATAGGCATTACACTGTGAAATCTTAAGGCCCTAGCAGTCTCCAAAATATGTTTATGCTTTCTTTCAACCACTCCATTTTGCTGTGGAGTGTAAGCACAAGAGCTTTGATGTACAATACCAAGAGAAGAGAAGAGAGTATTACAATTCATATTAAAAAATTCTGTACCATTGTCTGTCCTAACAATCTGCACTTTAGTATTGAATTGTGTAGAGATCATGGTCAGAAAATTTCTCAAAATGAAAGTAACTTCAGTTTTGTATTGAATGAGACATATCCAGGTGAACCTACTAAAATCATCAACAATTGTAACAAAATATTGTTTCTTGTCATATGTAGGTGTCTTGTAAGGTCCCCATATATCTATATGTATTAGTTGGAAACAATGATCTGAAGTACTATGACTCAGAGGAAAGGCTAATCTATGTTGCTTAGCTAAAGGACAAGTATGACAACAATAGGGCTTTCCAGTATCCACTTGATCTTTGAGAGAAGAGATGTGTTGCATTGCCTTAAGAGATGGATGGCCAAGTCTGATGTGCCATAGATCAATCTGATTGCCTGTTGTAACAGATGTGCATACAGTTGCAATTATTTCATCTTTTAGCAGATATAGACCATTGTGTTCTCTACCAATCCCAATCACCTTGCCATTGTAGATATCCTGTAATATACAAATATTAGGAAAGAAACTAACACTACAGGACAAGTCCTTAGTTAGTTTGGCTACTGATATTAGGCTGAACTTGAACTCGGGTACATACAAGACATCATTCAACTTAAGATCTCCTAAAATAATGGAGCTTCCAGTATGCAGTATGTCTGCTCTTATTCCTGTTGGTAGTTGTAATGTATTGGATCCTTTTAATTGTTTCAAGTCATGCAGCAAGCTTTTACAAGAGGTAACATGATGTGTGGCTCCTGAATCAATGATCCATTCATGTACACACTGTGATCTTGGAAGAGACATATTACCTGTTAGATTGGCTTGGCATTCCTGTGTGCTAAGATTATTGTGACTCTTTTCTTCTTTATCAGCAACTGCATTATTAGCATAAGATCTGAAATTACTAGTACCTGTACTCGTGTGACTAGAATTTCCAGATCTACCAGCACTAGCACCATTATGATGAGAGTTTGACGTATTGGAACCTGTTTGTGGAGGTTTCCTTTTGCTTTTAAAATCTGATGGGTAACCTACCAGTCTGTAACAATCAACTGTAAGGTGATTTCTGAATCCACAAATCTCACATGGAGTATCTAGAAGTGGTTTCTTTCCTTTGTAATTTTGTCCTCTACCAGCCAACATAGTAAGTGGTTCTTTGTAAGAATCAACTACACCTAACAATCTCTGACTTTCTTCTTGCACCACAATAAAGTAAGCTTGATTAACACTAGGTGCTTCAGATTTAAGAAGTATATCACTCCTTACATGACTATAGGTTTCATTTAATCCCATCAAAAACATCAATAATCTCTGTTGATGCAGGTGATTCGTGTAGGATTTTGCTTCAGCACACTCACAAGAAGGAAATGGTACAAGTACATCAAACTCATCCCATAAGTCTCTTAATTTGGAATAATAGTCAGTGACAGAATCAGTACCTTGCTTAAGACTTGCAACATCTGTCCATAATTGATAAACTCTTGTGAGATTCGATTTGTCAAACCTTTCTTTGAAATCATCCCAAACTCTTCTTGCATTTGATGCATACATGATTGTAGTTAACAAATTTGGAGCCACTGTACTGCTAATCCATGATAAAACCACTGCGTTGCATCTCTCCCATTGAGCAGCCAATTCATCTTTGTACAAACTCTTCAGGCAGGTTCCATCTACAAAACCTAGCTTATTTTTCACCAATAATGCCAGCCTCATCGATCTACTCCATAGCCCATAGTTTTCTGGTCCTGTAAGCTTGATCGTGTGTAAGGCCACACCAGGTGTATCTGAAGACTGTAAATACAGAGGATGGTGATGTGGTAGAGTCGCAACTGTCAAATCTGCCATTGTTGAAGCTAATGATAAGCTTGAAAGATATACTTTGCGGAAGATGATCTAGAACAGAGATCTCTGCTCTGATACCATGATAAGTTGTGAATCTAAACACTCAAATGAGTTTCCATACAAGAACTGTGATCTGATTTTACAGATCTGTGAAGCAATGTATCTAGAGAAGAAAGAAGATTATATTCATTGTTGTATGTAGTGATCAGAAAATACAATGTATTTATACAAGAAAATATCTAACTAACTCAATGCATATTCTAACTAACTCAATGTATATTCTAACTAACTTTTTATAAGTGCTAATCACCTAGCTGTTAGGCCCACAGTAACTAACTGTATTAACCATATTATTGATCTCAATAGTTAATCGTGATTTATTCATTCATTCACTTTTTTAATATCGATATCACATACAAATTTTGTTGTCCCTCCACCTATCATTGTTGTCAACATCTCTATACTTCAAAATCGTCTTATTGTCTACCTTTTCTTTTCAAATTTCTCATTTTTCATTTAATGGATTATAGAAACAAAAAAATGTATGGTGAGAGGAGGACGAATGGTCAGGTTTCTACTTTTTCATATTTCTAAAATAATATTAAAAAAAAGCAATTTAAAAAATAAAAATAGTATAGTTTACTTGTCAAAAAGAGTGTGTTAAACATTTTCATACAGAATTGGGACTGTCTTCGGAAGGGGTATTAATATCACTTTGAACAAAATTAGATGTGTAATAGGTCGCCGCAATAATTTGAGTGTGTAACTGACTTTTCGATACAAGTTTATGGAGTGATTTATGTCTTTTCCCATATAAACAAACTAAAACATTGTAATTGTTTATAAACAAAATTACTACGTAGTATATACATAAAGAGATTATACAAACATGTCTTGTTATGCATAACTATTGAAAAGATACAAACGACAAATTATATACAAACAAATGCTAATATCTACTGCTACTTGTATATAAAGTGTCTTTTATGTAAAATTTTATAATATGTATAAAAACTAAAACATGGTAATTTTATATAAACGAAATTACTATATATACATAAAATAATTACACAGACGGATCTAGTTATGTAAAACTATGACACATATACAAACAATGAATTATATACAAACAAATATTTCATATATATACAATTAATATTTATACAACATATAATTGTATAATGGGAATTCATATGCAGGATAATAGTGTATACAAATAAATAATAAAAAATTATACAAATCTATAAAAACAATCAAGTAACATAACAAATCTGAGAAAGTATTACTACATGTATAGAAAAGGGCTTATTATACAATCATAAAATAGAACTCATGATTACTATTTATACATACATTTTAACCTTCTTCAGATACATTCGGTTCCATTAAGTCAGGACAATATTATCTGATCATTGGTAGAATCGGTTATTTTTGCTTTCCTCCTTCTTTGATGAACTAGATTTGTCTTTTGTATTTAACTTTGTGATAATTTCATCCATTCTAATAGGGTTATTTTCAAACTTAGATATGAACTCGACATTTACTTTAGATTTTGCTATTGACTTGCAAGTCTCCAAATTCTCGAGTTAGACCCAAGGAAAATGATAGTGGATCATGATTTTTTTGCCACACAATTGAATACCTCCGATTATTCTCGTTGATGAAGATTGATTATCCATAGAATTAGTGAAATACCTATAAAATTGAGAATACACGGTGAAAGAAAATGAAAGTTCATGAATAAAATTGAAACATTGTACACAATAAAAAAAACAAATATAAAGTTGATTTGCTCACAATTTGGGCGGTTACCAAAAATTTTGATTTTGCAATTGGGAGGGTAATGTCAAAAAATTAAAATTCAAAACCTAATGAGGGTGAGAAATTTAAAGAGAAATGGTGTGACTAGGGAAAGAGAAAAATGTTCTAAATTGTATAAGAAATACCTTCTGTATTCTCTTTTTATTTAAGTTGAAAAGAAAATAATGGGTACCGCCAGATGGCAAAAAATGTGAAATATTTGCTGCAAATTACAAATAAAGAAAATTATGACTATAGCATTTGATATTATTAAATGTTTGCTATTTCATACAATTTTCTCTTTCTAATAATAGACTAGTTTAATTCATTGAACTCATTTAACTAAATTGATGACAATATTATATTTTTTAAAAATATATATTAATTTATTAAGGATAAATTTCCAAACTTAAATTCTTTTATCATAATTTTTTTTTTAATATTATGAAGAATATGTTTTTGAAACGTACTATAATGTGATCAATTTTGAATACTTGTAAATACATACATTCAAAAAAATATTGTTATATAAATCACTCATGATTGCTAATATACATAAATTAATCATAAATTGTATAATGAATCAATAATTTTAAAGGTCAATTAACTATTAAAAAAATACTGATTTGGGTGTTTTGAAATACATATATACTTACAATATCTTTTTTTTTGTCACGACCCAAATTTGCAAGTCGTGATGGCACCTATGTTCCCAACCAATAGGTAAGCCAACCCAACATATTAACCCAACTAAACCAACAAATGAGTAAAAAGACTAACACTTAGCAAGAATCTCCAACATTGAGTTCCTTATAAGTACGAAATGCGGAAGCTAAAATATATCACCCCAAGAATTGGTGTCTTAAGTACAAGAGCTTCAAAAATTCGATGCAAGTCTGAAACCAAATGACAACTCTAACATAAGGGATATCCTGTCTGAATACTAATAACAGAATAAATAAAATATAGAGGGATGTGTGGGCCACGGAACAGCCAAGCAGCTCACCACAACTCCAAGCTCGGACTCAATTTGCTCCACGAGATGTGCTCCTACTCGGAATCGAATCTGCACAACAAAGAGTGCAACAAGTGTAGTATGAGTACGAAACCACGTATACTCAGTATGTCTCATTGACCAACAACGAAGAAGTAGTGACGGGAGTTATATAAGAAAATAAATTCTTAGATTATACAAGTATATACATACATATATATATATATATATATATATATATATATATATATATATATATTTATATATTACAATTACTATTTAAGTTTCATCAATAAAGAAATCAACATTAAGTATTTTCCAAACACCAAACGAAACATATAATTATCAAGAATGAATGATGGGATGAAATGCAAAGCACTATGATACCATGTAATGATATGTCTCATAATACCCAGTACTCACTCAACCGTATATACATGATACTCCTCAAAAATACATCGAGAGTTCATAATCCATGGGGGACTCGCGAGGTCCATATACCGACACGGACGATCTCCACGTGTCTGTGCGGACGATCTCAACGCACTATCATAATATCAAACAATTTTCGCACGAACGGTCTCCACGTGCCCAAATTACAATCTTAACATCTCACTATCCCCAGCACGAACGATCTCCACGTGCCCAACTTATACTCAGTATCATGTCTATGCATGTGCACAATATTACTTCAATAGAGGGTATGATGATGCATCTCAATCAATCAATATGAACATAATACATAACCACCTCAATAATCACAACTATACGGGTGTAACAAAGAAAACACCATCACACTAGGATTTCAAGTCAATAATACATCACCTAATGCCCATATGCTTGGCATTCTCAAATTACAATCCACATTCTATAGTAGTAATTATCCGTTTTATAACACCGGTAATCGTACCAATGCCCGTCACACCATTGATACGAGACCCCCATCTTTCTCCCTTACCTCTTTGTCTATTTTCATTTTTAATCTTTAATTAGGAAAACGTCCTTCAACAAGTCTAAAAGTCTTAACATACCTTAAGAGCCGAACCTTGTGCCACGAATCTTCAAGATAGTTCCTTCCCTTTTCGCTAAGTTTCGGAACGTTCCCAATCTACCAATTATGCAATATTCATAAGTAAGCAACTTTTTGTAGACATTCAAATTATTATATGTCTATCATAGACGCTAAACTCACTCATATTTCCGACCAAACTCCCAATCTTGATATATATTGGTATGCCAAATTTTTTCATACTTGCTAAATTTCCAGCCAAGAACTTAACTTTAACATCTCCCAATACCCTTGAATTCAATGTTAAATTATATAATATACACTAATAATTAATTACCTATATGCATATATTAAACTTAAGCCTATATTTAATAATTAACTTAAAAGGATCGACCTCACACAACTGATTACGAACTGCACTAGTATGTACGTAACCCCTTGCAAAGTATTGTTTAATGCCTAACAAAAAAATAAATACATTTCAATTGTCATTATTGTCATGATTGCCTAATGATTGGCTTATAAGCTTGTCCCCACTTACTATATTTTCTCAATAAGAAAGAAAAACATTTGCAGATCCAAACTTACACCCTACTGACAACTATACTAACCCCACATTACCAATATAATAACAATTAATATACAATTCAATCTAATTCAAGTGAATCCTATTCAACGAAAATTTGAAAAAAACTAGACAAGGATGGTATCCTTTTACCTGCGCAGCGAGTTCTTCTCCAACGCCGAGGAAGACAATTTATTCCTATTTCTGATTTTCTCTAATCATGATATAATAACTGTAACCCCTCTAAGTTATTTAAATACATGGGCCAAATATAAAGGTATAAAATGAGTTATGGACTCAGCCCACTAATTATTTACTATATTTGTTCTTCACTAAATTTTTTTTTATTAACTAAATACTCTTAGTCTTCGTATAGTTTTAAAAAAACCCTTTTCATTTTCCAAAAGGAGTCAAACTAGTCCTAGTTTTCAAAACGACCTAGCGGATCGTTACATTTTTAAAAAGAAAATAGAAAGTGAATAATATTTATATTAGAAAAGAATATTTTGATCTAAATATATCAGTACATCAATCTCATATAATATGTATATTATTGAATTAAAATAGGCAATTCAATAATTATACTTGTATTTCATGAATTTGAGATAAGATAAGAATATATTTTGGCGTTTAATTGTATGAGAAGTTAAAATATAATATAGAATAAAAGAATAAAAAAAAATGAAATTAAAAAAAGATAAATAATACAATTTGATTTTTAAAACTTAAAAAAAAAAAAAAGACGCTAACATATGTTAAAGAGAAACTCTTCAATGAACAATTGTGTTTCTCAAGTTATGTCATCAAAAGGATCAAACAAACATCGAATTAAAACGAAAATTTCAAAGATCTATAGTCATGTGCTCACTTTCATTATTCACCCAAAAGGAAGCAGCAAAATAAAATAAAATCTATGTTAAAGTTCGTAATTTTTCTACTCGCAGTCATCAGAGAAGATCACCGGAAAAAATCATGAGAAAGATAATGACTTCTATTGAAAAATCCTATCACATTTATACATAAAATTCATGATTTTATTGCTTAAAGTTATCAAAAATACATTAAAAAAATTATTTTTATCTGTCTTCTTTACAGACCTGAAGTTCACTGGCAACGATGGTATTGTCCCTCCACCTATCGTTGTTGTCAATATCTCTATACTTTAAAATCGTCCTATTGTCTACCTTTTCTTTTCAAATTTCTCATTTCTCATTAATCATAAATTGTATAATGAATCAATAATTTTAAAGGTCAATTAACTATTGAAAAATACTTATTTGGGTGTTTTGAAATACATATATACTTACAATATCTTTTTTTAAAAAGAAAAAAGAAAGTAAATAATATTTATATTAGAAAAGAATATTTTGATCTAAATATATCAGTACATCAATCTCATATAATATGTATATTATTGAATTAAAATAGGCAATTCAATAATTATACTTGTATTTCATGAATTTGAGATAAGATAAGAATATATTTTGGCGTTTAATTGTATGAGAAGTTAAAATATAATATAGAATAAAAGAATAAATAAAAATTAAATTAAAAAAATAGAAATAATAATTTTCTCTTTTTTACCAACTTTTTTGTCAACCATAAAAATTTATTTGACCTGTTATGGAAAAATTGCTTAAAATTTTCAAAAAATTTATTTAGAAATTTTAAAAATTATCAAGTAATAAGTGCACATAGAGGTTTTTTGCTTGAATTTTGTTTGGTAAAATATTTAAAGGAATTATAGTTTTAAATTTTTTTCTTATATTCTTCAGAAATTCTCATGTAAATTATATATTTGTTTTGTAGAGACATAAGTTTGATGAAATAAATAGGTTTATATTTTTTTAAAATGATGTTTTAATGACATGAGATGTGAACTCGAATAGAAGGAGACTTTTGAGGTATTTAGTCACTTTTTTTTTCTCCAGAAAAATATAGGAAGCATGAATTGTAAAATATACAATCAATTATTATTGTAATAGTTAATTGACCTTTAATATTATTGATTCATTTTACAATTTTTTATTAATTGATGTAAATTAGCGTTCATGAGTGATTTGTATATCAATATTTTCTAAATGTATGTGTTTATAAGTATTCAAATTGATGATGATATAGGAAATTTTAAAAATGTATTCTTCATAACATACAAAAATAAAATTTTAATTATGATAAAAGATTCTTAGGTATGAAAATTTATTCTTAATAAACTAATATATATTTTTAAAAATAATATGATTATTATTTAGTTAAATGGTCTAATGAATTAAATTAGTCTATTTTTTTTAAAAAAAAGACTTTAATGACATTATTATGCCAACTAGGAGAAAGTGAGGATTTTGAAGTGTCAAGTATATTTGAATAAAAATAATAATAATTGAATGATATTTGATCCTAAATTAAACATAAATAATATTACAAAATAATTATTTTAACTTAGATGACTATTTAGGGTGGACTCTAATAGAAAATAGTCATTATAAAGATTGACACAATTTAATTATGTCTATTCACATTCTTCAATACATAAAACACAACACAATCATATAATTTTGTATAAATTTTAACAATCATATAGTTTTAATATAAAATTACAATTAATCTCTTTTTAGTTTGTAAGTACACTAATCCTTTAAAAGGTAACACAAATCGGATACATAATATATAGTTCGAATACATTAAAACTAACCGGATACATTAAAAACAAGTTTAGATACATTATAAAATAAACTGAATACATAATATCTAGCTTGAATATATTAAATATTAACTCGAATACATTACCATACATAAGATGTGTATTTCAGTAATTTATTTTCGATTGGAAAGCAATAACAAGTAATTATTCAAATGAGTAGAAGATGGATTATTGTATTTATGGGCAATCTCAAAGAGAATGTCACAAAGTTCTTTAGGCATACTTAGCATTGCCATATGATCAGCACCTTTAATTTCCTTTTCTTCAGTAACACCAATGTTGTCGATTTGCCATCGTCCAAATTCTTTTGGCATGCCTTTGTCCTCTGAACACATTATATAAACTCAATTCACTGATCCATATCCTTCATCTGTCAAATACTTCGCCTTCGACAAATCTTTTCGAAACAGGGAGCTTGATCTAACCAACGATAATCCTAATGCAACATCCTATACAACAAGTAACGTTGCATTTATTCGAGAGAAAAAACGAAATAAATAAACAATGATGATTGATTTTAAATAAAAGAGTGAAAAGTTACCTCAGGAGAGCATAACTGGTAGAGCTTGTTCGCCAAATAGGGTCCAAAAGTCATGGATGTAAGTTGCTCTTCAGGGGAACCATATGGTAAAAATTGGGTATCTAACCATTTCTCCTCTGGTGTTTGTTCATAATACTTACATTAAAATTGGATTCATTAGTAAAACAATCATTTCACAATCAAAAAGTATTACCTGATAATTTTTTGAGATTCAGATAAATTTATCTTTTTAACTATAAATTTTTCATATATTTTTTTTGAATTGTCAATTATTGTGACTTATTTTACGTAGTATATAAATATAAAAATTTTATTTCAAAACAATTGAAGATTTCGTTTGCAAATTTTCAATCAAACTTAAACTTTTTGACTCTTAAACAAAAAAAAAGTGACACATAAGTTGAGACTGACAGAGTATTAGGTATATTATACTAACCTCATCCAAAACATAGGAAGATATGTGATTAGAATCAGGCATGAAGGCAGCTAAGAAAACAGCAACATAGATCTTTTCTGGATATTTTTCCATAACAAGTCCTAAATTCATACCACCAAAACTATGTCCAACTAATATGACTTTCTCCTCTTGTGGAAGAGATTCCATCAATTTGAACAATGGCAAAGTGTAATCATGAAGTGTGTGAAGTTGCTCTATTTTTCTCAAATCAATGCCAGAGGCTGCTAAGTCAAAGGTTGTGACCTTATGGCCTGCAGCCTCTAGTAAGGGCTTTAGTTTGTACCAACACCAACCTCCATGTACTAAAACAAAATGTTTCTTCATACCTTCCATCTTTAGGCCTTTTTTCTTTATTTTCTTTGGCTTAGTCTTGACAAACTCTTATTTAGTGGTTTGGTGGACATCACAGCATTGGGAATTAATTGAATTTTACACGTGTTCACTGTTCAGTAGTGTAAATTAATATAATCAATGAATTGAGTTACTAAAATTCAATCAACATTGTCTATTGCATTTTTAAATACACAATTTAGTTTTAATTATTCATATTTTAGTCATTAGTTTATTTTTTTTTAATTTTCAATTTAGTCATTCAATTCTTAATCATCAAATATGTTTTTATTTTTCTTTATTCGATAACCAATTAATGTATTTGAACGTTTAATATTAATAATAATGATAATATATTAACGATATTAAACACTCAATTATCTTTTCTTTTTCATATTTGTAAAATTCTCTACTTCGATGGCATCTATCCAATAATTATTGCTAGTATTAATTTTGTGTTTCACGTTCAAAATTTTCTTTATATTTATTGTCTTAAAATGCGAAACGATGCTTTTGTAGATTATTTTTTTCTTACAAGTTATAAGAATTAACAGAAAAAAAAGAGTAAAGCAAATGAATTTGTGCAAGTACAAAATAATAGTAGTATAAATATATAATTTTTGCACCGAGAGAGACTCACAAAAATACTTGTAAAAAGAAAATGGTGTCCTCATATAACTTAATCATCATAAAAATTTTCGTAGGATATCGGAGCATGTTACAATTTGGCAAAGATACAGATGGTGTTAACAAAATCTAACCTAATCAATTCAATTTGTCCGACGTATTTAAGTTTGGACAGATTATTGATTTGTTTATTTATTAACTTAATTCATCAAAAATTGAGCTGATATGTAATTGCACTGGTTCAAGAGAAATATCATTTTGTTTTTAATATATGATATGTTATAGTCACAATTTATTTTGATCTAAGCAAATTTAAATTGAGTTATTTCTTGATCAATTTATTATCTTGACCCATTATGATCCTTATCAATTTAACACAACTTATCCAATTGTCATCTTTAAACCAAGCATTTGTTTCATCGGATAACTTTATACATCTAAAAAATTACGATTTTATCAATTTTTATCAAGTTATCGATTTAAAAAGGGATAATGTATACGTATCCCCTCAATCTATGATTAAAATTTCAGAGACACACTTGTAATATACTAAAGTCCTATTACCCCTCTGAACTTATTTTATTAATAATTTTTTGCCCCTTTTGGGCCTACATGACACTATCTTGTAAG